TATGTGTGTGCTTTTAGCCAATCAGAATTGGGAAATTATTTTGAATGAATAATAATTAGCAATTATTGGATCAGGCTTAGTATGACCTGAAGAGTTATGCAGACCGAGGAGGATAACACACTCCGAGGTCTGAGTAATTCTTCAGATCATACGAAAGCCGATTCCAGTAACGTTTTTATAATTCATTGAAAATAATTCGTACTTTAAAACATACTTACATCGATCAATGTTAAAATCCCGTCTTCATTTTCATTTTCCCGTCTTAGGACGTGGAAGAATCTATTCATTCACTAAGGCTGCTCATCATTGTTGTAATCTTCGGTTGATAAATAACAGAATAACAATAACTACGTATGTGACCACTTTTTTCCTGATGTGTGGAACAACAAAAAAGTTAGAAAGCGATTTTGATGTTTTTTATTTGGGTTTTTGAGTCCTACGAGAGGGGAACTGGGGCCGAAATGGCCTTTTGTTTCACCTGTCCGCAGTAACAGTCCCAGAAGTCTTTGCGAAAGTTAAGTCAGCCAAGTTTCCTGCTCGTATTTTCACAAAGCCGCCGATTATGCACCTTTTTTCCCTTAAAACATTTTGCATAACCATTGTTTTCGATTTCTCTTGGGACGACCGTAACACCCAGGAGAAACTGGAATCATTCAATGCTTACGCAAAATTTTGGGGGGTAAGCAAGGTGCATTATTGTCTATGCGAAAATGGTGAATGAGAAAAATGGAAATAAACTGCGAATGCTGCGGGAAACAAACTTACATGAGTGTCACCGCTTTACCTTTTTAAGTAAAATACCACAACAAATCTACCACGAGAGAAACTTCTCCGCAAAAATACATTTCCTATTGTGTATGTAACCATGACCATTATCTTATCCAGAAACCTGTGGTTAAGGCGACGTATCGTCGTTTTACTGAGGCAGATTATCGAAACTACTTACGGAGACAGAATCAATAGGTAAGAGATAACTTGAACTAATTTTGGAGGCCTTCAATTGAGCGATACAGATTTTCAGTAATATAGTTGACTCTTTCTTAACAGACACCTGTATAAAATAGACACCTCGGTACAAGGGACACCTAGAGTTGGTGCATGCCTTTTTTTAATCCCTTCAAGGTGTCCGTCGTGCAGAGAGTTGACTGAATTCAGAGACGATTCGTGTCCTTTCATATTTCCTCTTTCAGAAAAATCGTCGATTATGTAAACTACGCAACGTCTGCAGAACAAATAGCAGAATATGTCAAAGTGTTTAGGTAAGAAAATTTCAGTTTTATTTCAAACGGGCAATTAAGGAAGGTTTGGACTTGGTGTTGAAAATATTCATATTTTATGTTGAAGGGATTCCTTCTGGCCTGGGGGAATTTTGGCCGAAACATCTCCAGAGAGGAAGAAAGATGTGAAAGTAAGAACACGAGTTGCTGCTAAAACAAAGATGTTTGGCAGTATACCAGGTATATATATATTCTTTCTTCTGTGCGCTTTTCTCTTCGTGCAAGTTAATTGAAGCAGTTTCTGGATCTGAAATACTTTTGAGTTTCAATTTCAAGATCAAATGGGAGGGGTGTGGACTGTTACCTCTTTATGTTGGGGAGTTTATGTGTCATTCTATCGCGCCGACACTGGTGATAGGTTCCGCCGGCCATCAAATAACCAAGGACCTGAAGACAGAGGTCTGGAGGGATGCTGGAGCTACCACCATGGATAAAGGGTCACGGGAACGATAAGATGACATGGATTTTTCTACCATTAACAAAACGTTTTGGCAATGCCCGTTTGGAAAGTCAAAAATACACGACTTTTCCTGTCGTTCTATTTGAATTTCTCTGAAAGATACGGAACGTCCAAAACGGTAGTCCTGTTTTCGTAGTCGGAATGTGCCAAATGGAAATAACCCATCTTTAGAACTAATTTCTGGCTTTCGTAGTTTCGTCCCGAAAGGAAATTAACCTGTCCTAAATGGTGTTTACCATTTGCCCAAACTGTGCATCGACTGGTTACCCGTGTAAATGGGAAACACTCGCAACTAATAAAAACGTTACGATGATGACATTGAAGTATTGTGTTTGCAGTAAAATTTTCCCCTAGTGCATATTTTCTTCATTATTTAACAGCACTGAAGTTCAGTCTTGAAGGTGTTTTTCTTTTGACGTTCGTTTACAGTCTTCTTTGATGTTTTTTTTAGAGGAATTAAAGCGCTTTCTTGGGTCAGAAGTGACAATGGAAGGAGTTTGTCGGTAATTATGTTTCATATTTCGGTATTCTTGTGTGTAAAGGTGCGCTAAAACGGGTAACAAAAACGTGTAACTTGTTTTGCAACATTGCTGTATAACGAGGTGAATAGCGGTGTTGCGCGTTTTACCACCCACGAATCAAACCTAGATTGAGTAGTTCTACGTCTTGCCACAAACTCTGTACAAGTTGCGCGTTTTACCGGTCCAAGGCAAACTTGTTTTGCAATCAGTGACGTAACTCCCCGTGTATGTTGTGACTCTCGCGTTATTTTATCCAATCAGAAGTCAGTATTCACGCAACTTGGAACAACCTGATTTGTTGCAGGACAGGTTTGAACGTGGGAGGAAAACGCGCAACATTGCATTTCAACTCATTTTGCAGCAATGTTGCAAAACAAGGTGCACGTTTTTGTTGCCCGTTTTACCGTAGTTTAATTTTGTACAGTTCAAACAAATATTTGTTTTTTCGCTTATGCTTATCTTGAATTTCCCAACATTTATCTTGGCAGGGTGTTCGACACTTTTCAATATTCCAGTTTAAACAAGCGTCTCCTGTATGTATTATGGGAAGGAATTCTAGAGTTACTTTTTCCTGACAACAAGTTCAACGACATCTTCCTCAAAATTCATGCAAAACCCAAGACGTAATGGCGACGTGGTCCCACTCTTCCTGGCGCGTCAGCGATCTTTACGGGTTGTCAGAAACGGCAAGGAAAGTTTCTCGCAAACATTTTCCTCCTATTCCTATCGCTTACGTCAGGACAATTAGGATATTTTTTAAAAATAATAAAAGTCTCTCTAAGATAAATGCTTTGAGTAATTTTCAGTAATGTTTATTGAATTGTAAAAATGTAAATATTAAAATCAGCCAGCAATACTATTATTAATTTTCGTTGTGCGTGAACTGTTTGTGTTGTCTTGTCGATCTGCTCTGTTTTAGGTGGGTACCACAAGGTTTCCACCTGGCTGTGAATTCAGCCTTCTTTTAATTTTTGTGGTCGTTCACAAATCGCAGATTGCTCCAACATGTGTCATAAGGATGAATCCGTGATCTTCAAGAAGATGGGTAGAGAACTTAAATTGCCCTAGTGTGCGTTAATAATTGCCTCGTAGATTACGCGGTGACTCATTGTCAGTAGCTGCTGACCAGTGGTTATTAGGGCGGCGGTATAACAGTGACTGGTACGTGCGCATGATCAATGCAGTACTGGCTTACACTTCCTAATATGGTGCGGCGTATTGTTCCAAGTCCCCTAGATCCCATGACAACCATTAGAGCGTTCTTCTCCTTGACCAGCTTGCAAATCACCTCTCCAGGTTTTCCTTTTGTTTCTATAAAAACTGAATACTTGATCTGAAAACAAAAGTAAGTATGAGACAGGGGGAATAATAAAGCCATGATTGTATATATTGCCATATATTTAGAAATTACTGAATGAGGCTGAGTAGGATGTGAAGAATTATGCAGATCGAGGAGGATATTGTCAGCCGAGGTGGATAACGTCCTCCGAGATCTACATAATTCTTCACATCATACGAAAGCCGATTTCAATAATGGCCGTTTTATTATTCATTCAAGATATTTTTAAGTTCTTCACAAGTTTACCTTTCATTGACTTTCTTCTAAACTTTGGCCTATTCTTCGGCACAGTTTCAGGATATAGATACAGTTTTTTTTCTTGCAGATACTCCTCAAAAATTAAATAACATCTATCAAGCAATAGGTTTTGCGTATTCTTTCTCTCCTTCCGTTCAGTTTTAGTCAGAAATTAGCAAATTCGTCTTTGGATAGTCGTGAAGGTCCGTCTTTTAATTCACTTGTGAATAACTGAACAGCTAGGCCGCCACGCTTGGAAAAGACGTTGATCGGTGATGTTGTCCATTCAGCCTCGTTTCCAATCAAATATGGTAATATTGCTCGCATCTTCCAAATTTGATCAGCGCTGATTGGTCATGAAGAATTACCTGGGGGATTGGAACCAATCAGAAACGGCGAAATCTTTTGAATGAATAATCATTCCGTTATTTACCTTGGCTTGATCGCACTTTCTTTTGTACTTGTCAATCAAGTCGTCTACCTTTTGCCACTGGGCTCTAACAATATTCTCAATCGCCTCTTCCGTCATGTCACTTCCTACTGAAATACACACATATACATGGTCATCTTTGACTTAAATTCATCGATCGAAATAGACGAAAGGGGAGTGTTAGGGGATGGGTAAATTGCCAACCGTCAAACGGTTAACATTAAAACGTGGAAAAAATCAGGAGTTTGATTACTGTATGAATGAAGTTACTGTTTTATGTGGTCATCTACCCGCGACCTCTTCACTTTTCCCTCGATTTGCATACCAAGACGTACACGGCATAGGCAATTTGATTTCGATAAAAGTTGCCCAGTTTAAAAATCGGGAGGTAGGCGTTCCAGGAAATCGTTTATAAGGCGTCATTCTTAATTTTTTCTTTTCATGTCATTGTGTTTTTATTTAAGCAACGAAAAAAAAAATGAGTACGACTGCAGACTAAAAGAAAACCTTCTATTGCGTGGGAGAAGGGAAGTTTAAACTTACATGGAATCCTAATAACGGTGTTGCCGGTATCTTCGTGTACGTGTGTTATTCCCACGGTCTGGTCAGCTCTGTACATAAACTGAAGATAAACTGTCAAAGAAAAGGAACACAACATCAAATTTAACAAAAAGCTTGATGGTTGCTGTCATTAAACTAGAACGGAAAAGCTACATCCAATGAGCGGGACGTCTAAGTAAGGTCCTGGGAACCAGTTGATTATTCGTCACAAAAAGGGAAGCGCCAAAGTTGATCTTGGGTCGATCTGTTCCTTCTTCAGCACCCTATTTCTGTTGAAATGAACTACAACTCCTTTTAATAGTACTTGGTGAGTTATTAAAAGGAGCATTACTGTGAGTGGAAATGTAATCTCCCTCGCAGTTGAGTCGCAGCCGTTTTAATGTCATCGCGCAACGCTGCTCCCGACGACGCTAAAACGGTTGCAAGGGAAACTACTAGGTATGTGAAAGGGAACCGTTTTTCAACGAAAAAATACGAAAGAAGTATTTTTTTTGTCAAAAAGTGGTACACCAAAACCGAGCCTGTTATGCAGACGTTCTTCGGGTTTCATCACGCGTTCCTTGCCCACGTAGAAGAGGATTGCGTGCAACCTCGTCCCCAGGGCGCTTTACCTTGGCTCCAAAACTGGCCTCCAAAGCCAGGGAAAATTGCCCTGTAGACGAGGTTGGATTGCGTGACGAGCCAATAGAACCTCTATATGTAAAAGGTAAGGGATTAGACTGCGGGACAGTGCCTCCCCGGCTCCCCGTATAGAATGGTTTTTAGGAGCCCACCACCCCCTACGCCCCTAAGCCCAACTTTATCTACCCGTACAGGAAAACCTAGTAATCACTAATGAGACAAATGTAGATTTAACTGTTGTTCATTTCATGATTTGAAAACCTTGACCGGCTGCAGGTCATTTAGACACTTCGAATTTTAAAGTTTATCAATATCTCTGTATCTACAAAAACTATCAAACTGAAAGTAATGCCCCAGGGGCATTGCTATTTGATTGGTCAAATTTATATTGACAGCTACGTTTCAAATGTACAACCTCGGGGATTTCTTTTGTAGAAGAAGTAAGTGCAAAATTACGTACACTTAATAGGTGAAATTTGCCAGTATTTTCAACTTAAGAGTAAAATCGACGCAAGAATTCCACACAAATGAAATTTATATGAAAGCAACGCCACCATAATCAGCCAAATTACTTTTCATAATCCTCCGTGTGTAGAAAATATAATGTAAATGTTGATTTTCAGCTGTTGTCTTGGGGGCGTTTTAATGGCACCTGCGTAGCAACAGTCTGTAATTTGGCAGTAATTAAGATTTTCTACATTCAAGAATTCTTATAAATTGTTTTATACGTTAATTATGCAAATAATTGTTTTTACCTTCAGGTTCTTGCATCGACAACACGAATAACAAAAATAAAAGCTAAGGTAAAAAGAATAGTAAATTGCTCGTAACGACAAAGAGCGATCTTCCTCACAATCTCGATAAGAATTATTCACTGTACTCAGGCAGCTTTACAGACGCAACAATATAACAGTGTACTTCTGTACTCACAGTCAAATGCTCTCTCGCTGTGAACACTTTCGTCCACTGGAATTAAAACCAAGTTTTTCTCAGAAGCTGCCATAATTCCGGCAAATTTCACTAAAAATAGGCGCTGGCTATTTTCCACGTGAAGGCAGCAAGGTTAGAGATTTTGTAGTGGGTCAAGTCGGGCGACAGATCTCAAAATGTATTTCCCGGGAAGACAAGCACGCAAAAAATAATTACCGAAGCAAACAAAACCACATTAGTAGAGGGGTACTGGGCACTAGCTTACCAGTCCCCGACGACTTTTAACAAAATGGCCGACCGAGGTGCTCGAAAGAGAGCTGCAGAGAGAGAAGACGAATTCTTTCGTATTCGAGCCAAAGGACAATTTTTGAAGGTTCCTAAAGGACAGGATTATGATGATAGGGAAGTAACAGGAGCAAAAGGTTTGTATGAGACCTAAAACTTGAAAAACATGACCTAATGATTCTCAGCCGGCGCCACGTGCTCCTTACACACTAGTTACATCAAGGTCAGTGTAGCAAATCTGTAAAAATGAAGCCAGTTTTTAAATTTTCAGGATGTAAAAGGCAATTTAATCACCATCTTAGTACGCGATAGGCTTATTACCACTCACCAGTTTCATCCATATCAAACAAGTCATGTCATCATCACCATCCTTCGACCACCAGATCAGAGTGGACAAGACATTCACGGAGATTTCTTCCCAAACACCACGATTCGCCATCGTAGTCGATAATGCGCGTGTGTAATAAGGTGGATCAATGAAAAACTAACTAGAGAAACACTCAATTCACAATATATGAAACCCACGTACGCGTAGATATCGTGAGTGGTCCTCATCCAAACTGTGTTTGTTCTGAGCCTGGGAATTAGTTTCTGTAAACTAAAGAGTGATGTGACCTGTTAAAATTTCCTCACGGTATAAGTCACACGTAGATCAAGATATTTCATTCATAGCACTATGCAGGATATTTGTTGGCCTTGTTTAGATCTTAGGAGCCTCCCATAGCTTAGGGATGGACTTTTAACCACATTGTCAGTTAAAAAGGTCATCTCACCTACGAGTCGCTTTGCCAGTGTCCTGTTCTCTGACTTCTGAAGTCATTGCGTACGTGTTGGGTCAGTTCCCTAACTGTGTTCGCCTGACCAACGGCTGAAATAATGAGGTATATACATGCGTAACACACTTGTTTCTATCATTGCTGAGAGAACAAAGCATATACATGTGCATGTCCGGCACTCATTTCACTTCTTAGGGAATGTCATAAGACGTTAGCGAAACGACTCATAGGGGAAATGACCAGTCAGCAGACTGTCATATGGGATGTCTATATGTATTGATGAAAAAAAAAAACATGTGGATGGCAGCTAACTCATAATACACTTCTCCACAGTCCAACAGGCATGTAATAGGCCCTTTGCAGCTAGCCATTCATGTGATACCAAACCGCCGTGCTGGAGAGCAAAATCACAATGGGACAAGACAAACAAAGAAAATTACCATTTAAAATTATGTATGTCTTTTGTTTGTCTTGTCCAAAGTGCGACTTTTGCTCTCTAGCATGGCGGTTTTGTACCACATGAATGGCTAGCTGCAAAGGGCCTATTAGCACGCTTTTCATTTTGTAGGAAAACTAGGGTCAAACTTCAAAATAAAGCCCGTGGCTAAAACGCTTTGCCTGGCCCCAAACTAGACATTACATTATTGCTCGCTACAGTTTCTTTGGCTTTGAGATACAAAATAAAGATAGGGTTCTCATTTTGTGGAAAAGGCTGGGTCAAACTAGAAAACAAAGACCTTGCTAAAATACTTTCTAAGGATACATTGAATGATGCATTATTTAACAGGGATCTTTTGACACACATACCTTAGTGGCTTCTTATGCTCAATATTATTTTACTTACTTTCAGGAAAAAAGCAGAAAAAGGTGCCAAGCAGAAGAGATCAAAGGAAACAAGCCAGGTTACAGAAGAAAGTCAGAAAAGTTGCTTTCTTTTCTAAGAACACAGTGCAGGTTTGGTCCATTTTTTCAGCAAAGAATTATACTCTCATTTTATGATGGTATTCACCATTTTCAAGTAGACCATCCTACACCTTGTTTACTCCCAAAATTTTGCATAACCATAGACCTTATCATGGTTTTGGGAGCCATCATGATGGGTAGGAAACCGAGTGAGAAATTACAGTGTTTGTATGAGAATCTGATTTCGAATTATTTCCATAAATCGGCTGTTCTGGAAAAAACATGAATTGTAAATTAAAGCTTCACTCTTACAGATTCTACTGAAAAAACTTTAAAGCATTACCTGCGCTAGAGCCACCTTTTAAAATTTTCTATACATTTGTCTGTAAAAATATTTCTTCCTGCTGCCTAAAATTACCTGGGAAGAATTGCAGACAAATATATGAAAAAACTAGAGCGAGTGACTGGAGAAATTTAAGCACAGTTCCAGCCCCAAAAATTTGTTTTTGTCCTTTGCTGAGTGTGTAGCTTTAGTTTACAATTCGTATTTTTTTCCGAACAACCATTTTACGGAAATAATTCGACATTAGATTCTCATACAAGCACTGTAATATCTCACATGGCTGCCTATCTCTATTGTTTCCAGTTTCCCCAGGATACAACAGTCACCCCAAGAGAAATCAAAGACAATATTTATGCAAGATTTTGGGGGGTAAAAAAGATGCATTATGGTCTATGCGAAAAAACCTAAGGTGAATAGACATTATTTCACTCTAACTTCAATGTTTTTACAAGTCTATAAGGATTCTGTAATTCCTTAATCCACCATGGCTAGTTTGTCATGTCTCATAATTCTGTAACAGATCCCTTGCCCTCTCTGTGATGAGGCTTATGAAGCTAAGAATGGAGTGTGTTGTGTCATGACATCCCTAAAATATCTTTGTATTCTCCAAGTTGCTTATTAGATACATTAAATGTTGGATATCACAAATGAGAAAGCTAATGTCCTTGTGAAAGAGCAAACTTCATTAATCTTTGTTAGCAGCATTGAATTTTTGTATGGTATAGCATTATTGAGTTAAATTATTTTGATTGTTTGGTAATTACGGAGACAAAGATTAACAGCACTTTTCCAGACAGCCAATTCAAGTACATGGATTTTGCCTGCTTCGCAATGATAGGAATCATGGTGGTGATGGAGTAGCGATGTTTAGTTGCAGCAACATTTTGTTTATGAGGGCAAACTTTATTGGCATCAAGTGTGTGGCTGTACATGTAAAACTGTCAAACTCCTGGATAACTTTTGTTGGACCATCGGTCACCATTCCTTGATAACTCAATGTGGAAGCCTGAAATGTACTATTTTTTTAGACTGACAGAGATGTCAGAAACTGTCTTTACATGTATACTTGATGATTTCAATTGTGACATGCTGGACCTTGACAATTCACCCAAGGAGGGCAGAGATTTTGTCGATATTATCGACATTTTTGCCTCTGAAAACTTAATTTGTGAAGTGACCAGGATAACAAATAATTGGCAAACATTGCTTGATCTTGTATCAACAAATAGAAAATCACGGCTCTTGAGGGCTGGGGTTTCTAATCTCCACATTAGTGATCATGCACTTATTTATGCTATTATTCATGCCTCATCACGGAAATGTAGATCACAGAAGATCTGTCTTTGCAGCATGAAAACCTTTGATTTGGACAAATTTTGTGCTGATTTAAATTGTGCACTTTTCGTTATGGTTATGAATTCCTGTGAGGACGTAGACAGCAAGTTATTTGCATTTCAATCCATGCATACTTCTATAATTCTGGATGAACATGTGCCTATGAAAACGTGTTTTCCTTGCAACAAGGTGCCATTCATGAATGAGGTGTGGAGGAAAGCAATTAATGTGATTAAATGTAATTTAGGCAAAGTTAACCTTGAAGCAATGCTGCTCGGCAGGTTTCCCAGCTATGCTGGGGGGTTGCCCAATGCCTCTAGCAGGGGCACCTCGTGACTTGTATACGCAGTTGCTTGCTTGCAGTTCTTTGCAAAGTGTTGCCACAACAGTTTGTGCTTGCCATTTTGTGCTGTTTTTTACTCTTCCTCAAACAATGACTACTCTCTGGACCAACAATAGTCTGTCTGCTGGTTTTTACGACGAGAGTTCGCAACCAGATGCGCTTCTGAGCACCGAGTCTTCTGTGCCTTCTTCGCCCCCGTGCATGGCAAACTCTGCGCCACAATCCTCTTCGACCGTCTCCGTCCCCTTTGCCGTTAGTGTTCCTGATCCAGCATTCCTAGCTCTTGTTGTCATCGCAGTTAAGGCTTTCCTAGTGGCGGAAAAAGATCCTGGCCCTACCTCGAACAATGGGTGTGTGCTTCGCTTGGTAATTCAGCTTGCGTGGCGTCACCGTCAACTTCTGGGGGCGTTCCCGCTCAATCGCCCAGTTTGTCCCAACAAACGGCGACGTTCTTAGCTTCTGGGGGCCTTTTTCAGGAACAACAGGCGGTACGGCGGTACCTTCGCCGTCAGCGTCTCAAAGTAGACCTAATTTTACGGTGCCCTCCTTTGTTGCCACATTTGCAACCCCGCACTCGCCGATTTTAAGCACTTCAATCACGGCGGGCACTTCTCTCCCGGTACCATTCAGCGATAGCTCCTTGGTTGCCAACTTGCCTTCGGGACCGCTACTTCAACAGCCTTTTGTAGTTGGCCCAGGTTTTTTGCCAATCCTGGCAAAAACGATAAGCCAAATTGTCGCCGGCAAGTATGTGGATTTGGGGGACTTGTTGCCCGTCAACATCGTTCAGACTGAGCGGCAGTCACAAGCATTCCTTGACGGATGCTTAGTGGTTTTGCCAAGCTCTAAAAAGCATCGCCATCGCATCAAGGACATCGTGAACAGGTCTTAAGCATTTACGATTTTTACATTGATTCTGACGCCCTATTTTCCGCACCGATGAAAAGATTTAACTTCCTACACGCTCCTCATGTTACAATTCGCCCATCGTTGAAGTGTCTGTGCGGATTCTCACTGTGGCTCAGAGGGCTCCCGTCGTTCTAATAAAGCATCTTTGAACGATCACAAATACAGATCCGCTTCTCTACCCTCTGCGCCTTTGTGTGCTTCAAAAACCAGGCGTCAGTGGATGCACCTTTTGTTCTATTGATTGTTTTTGCCAGGTTGAACTGTATTTGATTGACTTTAGTTTTCCCGTTGATTTCTGACCGTTATTCTATCTAATTAATGTTAAGACGCGTTATTGCATCATCTCGCCTTTATACAGCTAGGTCGGACCGTACGTTATTGGCAATAAAGTTGTTAAGTTGTTTGAGTTTGCTAGTTTGTTGTCCAAAATTATCTCCTTAGTATTGGGGTGCCTTTTACCTAGCCTTGTTCTGTTTTATTTTAAACTAGCCTTATTTTCTTGCCAGCTCACCCAGTTCTCCCTGCCGTATCAAAGGTTAGTGCCTTAAGGTGGAGGAATTTTCAAAGGAATTAGCCAGTCATCCCGACCAGCAGCAGGTCTCCTATGTCCTCCAGGGCCTCTGGCATGGCTTCCGGTTAGGATTCCACGCTGCTCACAAGCTTAAGCCAGCTAAAAGAAACAAGCCGCCTGCTCTTCACCATACCCACATTGTCGATACATATGTGGCTAATGAAGTCTCACTAGGCAGGGTTTCCTCCCCCCTCTTCCCTGGTTGCACATAAGCTGTTTTGGGGTCATCCCTAAGAAAGGACAGCCAGGCAAATGGCACGTGATAGTTGATTTGTATTCCCCGGGGGGTGCTAGTGTGAACGATGACATTGATCCCCAGGATTTTTCTCTCCAGTATATTAAAGTTGATCAAGTATCGTATGGTTTCCCGTTATGGCCCAGGTGCCCTGATGGCGAAGTTTGATGTGGAATCCACTTATCAGAATATCCCATTTCACCCAGATGAACGCTTCCTGCTTGGCATGAAATGGCATGGACAGTTTTATGTTGAACTCTCGCTCCCTTTAGGTCTCCGTTCTGCACCATTTTTTTTTTTCAATTCTGTAGCTGAAATGGTTGAATGGATCCTACTCCACAAGCATCACCTTTCAGACTTGTTACATTACTTGGATGACTTTATTACCACAGGTCCCCGGCAGTCTTCTCAGTGTGCATATAACCTTAACACTGCGGTCTCTGTCTGCCATAGGCTGGGGTTGCCTCTTTACCCTAACAAATGCGTGGGTAGGTCGAGCTACTTCTATGACTGTCTTAGGAATTGAACTGGATTTGGTTAACCAAGTGGCTCGTCTTCCCGAGGACAAATTGCTTGCACTAAGAGAGCTCATTCACTCCTGGATGCCAAATGGCTGGTGCAGAAAGCAGGAATTGGAGTTCCGTATTGGCCATTTACATCATGCTGCTAAGGTAGTTTGGCCAGGGAGAGCTTTTCTCCGTCAGTTTATCAACTTGTTGTGCTGCTTCCGTAACTAGAACCACCCTGTCCCGATTAACCAAGAGGTTTGTCTGCTGCCACAGACCTGGAGGTCACCTTGGATGCAGCTGGCGTGATTGGCTTTGGTGCCTATTCTAGAGGCCAGTGGTTTTATGGTGCTTGGTCAGTGGCCAATCTATTACATACCAAGAACTTTTTCCTGTGGTGATTGCTGCTGACCTTTGGGCTAGGAAGCATGTCTTTTTTCGATCAGATAACGAGGCAGTAGTCGCTATTCTCACGACTAGGACCTCGAAGGTTCCGGCTTTCATGCACCTCCGTGACCTGCTCCCTGCGGCATGTTGTGAATTTTAGTTTCACTGCCACTCATGTTCCTGGAGGTGAGAACAAAACTGCTGATGCTATTTCTCGTTTCCATTGGCAGGAGTTCAGGCAGTTGGCTCCGGAGGCTCACTCAACCCTTTGTCCCATTCCTCAGCTTCTGCTGGACAGCTTAACACCTCCGCCCTAGAACAACGGTGCCTGCATTTCTTGGCCCAGAGTTTGGCTCCTTCCACCCAGAAAGCACACGCTTCAGGTCAACGGAAGTTTGTCGAATTTTGCAGCCAAGCTGGGAAGCTCCATCCCAATGACTCCCCTTGCCCTGCAGATGAGTGGACGCTATGTTTGTTTGTTTCGTTTCTTGCAGATTTAATTCAGCATTTGTCAATTAAAAATTTACACTGTTGGGCCGCTGCCGTGGCCAGAGCTTTTGCAAGTGGACCCGGGGTGTGAGTTAATGGGTACTGTCACCAGTGAGATGGAAAAACTCAAAGCAAACATTTTTCGTGGGTGCACAGAGATTCACCAGGACCAGGCGATCATGGAAAGATTCTTACGCACCCTTGCTGAGTGCCTGTTTGGATACCCGTCATAGGCTGCCCGAGGGGTAAAGGTCTTCCAAATGGGTCGTTCGGCTTCCTGCTGTGGTCTGCTTTGAACTGCGAAGTCACTCACCTCACAGGCAAAAAACCCGCTGAGCCCATCAAAGAAAAGGCCATTATTGCAAAGCCTGTGACTCCCTAATTGCGCCCTGTCGGAAAAAAATGACAAGAATGTAAATGTCCATTAGCTGTATCAGCCAGGTGAGCTGGAAGGCAGGCAGCAGCGGGCCACTGAACCCATCTGGTCTTTGGAAGACTATAATGTCTTGCCTCCCCTTGTGAAGCCCAACGAGCCAGTTGTGTATTATCTTCAAGACGACCCAAACCGGGGGTTTGTGCGTGAAGAGCTGCTTGCCATTCCGCCCACAATACTCTTCCTCCGGTAAGTGATACTCGATAGGCTCCGTGTGGATCCCGTCCAGCAGCACTCACCGTTTGTCATAATACGCAATCAGCCCCAGCTTGTTTTGGGTATATGTGCAGATCGTGCCTTGCGCCATCTGGAACCCCTGGTTTGTGGCTTTGTCTGCTGCTCCGTTCAGCGCTTCCTTGTATCGCTCCCATGTGTGCTTGTTCTGCTGCTGGGACATGCCCTTCGATGACAGCTTGTCTTTGCTCTTCTCTTTGTTCTCCACGTAATAACATTTGCTGCAAAGGGCTATCCCACGGATACGGTGTGCAATTGCTCCATTTGTCCCATGCGAACCAATGCATTTTTGTCACTTGGAACTCTTCAAGAACCTCTGGGAAGACGGCTTCTTCGAGCGTTTTGCATGAGATACGTACTGTCGGTGTCCATCTGGATGAGCTTGAAATCCCTCCTGTCGATAAAATGGTCCAAGCAATCATAATAAAACTGCAACATTCGCAGTTTGGCCAGTTGGCCAGTCGATACACGATGATTCCCACCTGGAACAGCCTGTTGATCATCACTTTCTCCTTTCAAAACTATCTTGAACACGTCACCAATCTCCTCCAGGTCATCGAACCATGCTGACCATTTTGCTTGGTTGACCACGTGCTGGTCCTTTGTGTATATCACCCTTGTCTGTCTTTCTTTCGCCTTCATTAGCTTTCCGTAGGCACTGTTTCCTAACAACTTTAACACATCTGCCAGGAAGGCTATGTCTGGGTCTTCACCTCCTCTGCACCTATTTTCTGTCACCTCGTTTATGAACCATGTTAATATTTTTGGGGGTCGGTGGTCAGTGGTTCAATCCGTGATCTCGACACCATGCTTAAGGTACGATTCCAGTAGCGGGGCGTAAAGCAAGATCTTTTTCCCTGTCAGCCTTTCACAAAGCTTTTCAGTTTGTATCCCAGCTCTCTTGGTTCATTGCAAATACTCTTTCATGTGCGTCGCAATCGCTTTGGATGGGATATAGCTGTTGTAAAACAATGGTGGGAATTCTTCGAATTTTGTCCACAACTCTCTGGGGACATGGATGTCAACCTCTGCAGAACCAAACCACACTTTTCGGTGTAGCCTGCTTTTGAACCCACCCAGCTTTGGCTGAATTTTCGTAATGAGTCACCTTTCCTGGCCTACAAGGCATTTTTTCCAGAATAGTACTCCGGTACAATGCGTTAACGTCATGACGAACAATCTTTTGACACGGACACGTGTTGTCCTACTTTTGTGAGGAGGGGCGGTGGTTGTTTTCCCCACCTCGTGCTTTCTGGTAAAAACCAGACTTGGACCTCCCACCACAGCCCCTTTTAGCATTTCATACGCCTCTTTTTCGGGGGCATACAGCTCTGACAGGTTCCTACCCTGAAGCATCCCTCGAAGAAGATACTGCAAGGACACACCCAGGAGCGACACAGCGTCTTCGAATATGTCGACACAAAGCCCTGAGTAAAATCCTTTCCTTTTTTCTTGTGCTTCCGGGAAGGGGCTGACATCCAGATTGTTGTAATACTCCAGCCAACAGTCAAATGTTCTCATTCCCTGCTCCCGGAACACCTGCTGGCAGTCCTCATACTCCTCCAGCAACAAGACAAACTCGTTTTTCAGTTTTGAGAACCAACAACGATTCAGCGACAAGCCATCATAATCCAGTTTGTCAGCACAGTCAAGCCACTCATATGGCAGCCATGATTTTGTCTGGCTGCTTCCATACATTTTCACCCACCTCTCATAACTCGTGCTTGGCCCCAAATAATTACAAATGTCCAAAAACTTGAAATTTGTGGTTGGAACGGTGTAGACAAGAACATGATTCTTCCCTGCTTCTTGGCCACGGTCACCTGCTTTTCTGCCCCAATGTGCGTTATGAAATACTTTTTGATAATATTCAGATCATACTTGCTCGAGTTGTAACCCACCATCGGTATTTGATTGCATCAGTCCAGTAGAGTCGTCTGCTGTTTTCTCGACAATAGTTCCTAATCTTCCGGCACATAGCTTTGTCGCACCTTCTCCCTTAAGATTTCTCCTCGCCTGATCAGCGTTTCCCAGAACTGTCTTATCAGCTCCTTCGGGTCTTTTGCCGAAATGCGCTCCAGCTCTCTGTCGAACGTGTCCGCCAGGGACACTGATACGGGAATATGCTCGCTCTCAAAAACCAAATTGGCTGTGGGTGTCTCAATCGCATGTGGAAACATCTCATTCTGCTTGCCGGGAAGCCTGCAACGCCTTGGGTATGGCCTCTCATGATCCCACCCCACAACCAAGTTGTATCCCACTTTGATACACATCTTCTCGTGTTACATTCTGCCCTTTCTCCCAGTATAAAACATGCTCTATCCGTCAGCATTGTGGACATCCATGGAAATGACAGCTGTGGATTTGGTACACTGTTTTGCTCTTGCGGTGATACCCGTCCATTGGATGCCCGGCGATCAGCCGCTCCCCTCCATGCCCACACAGTTGATAATGGATGTGGATTCCCCACCGCTTGGCCTCGGTCTCTATCCAATAACAAGTGGTTTTTTCATGTTTACGCCTTGCATGAAAGGCCCTTTCGTACAGGGACTCTGGTGCCAGATCTTTTCTCCCGGACAGACTATTTTTGTTTGTCGATCTGTGCACCTTGCCGCATGTTGTAAAAGATTACATAATGTCTGAATCTTGCCCCGCAGTGCGCACATACAAACGTTTTGGCCGCCTTCTCCAGGTCCGTGATTAAAAGGCGTGCTCTTTGTGAATCCGGCTAGTCATTGGTTGATATTCTTCCTCTTCCTCTTCCTCTTCCTCTTCTGGAGTAAAATGCCCCCGCAACGTAAATACGCACTACCCACATCATAGACAACTATTTCTTGGTGGAAATACCTCGCAATCAGTGGGATATGCTGCAATTCCACCTTCGCATTTGGAATTTCATGTGTGGCAAAATATTCTTGTGCCATTTGCCTGTTATTCTCATGTTGTTCTTTTTATGGGCTTCTTTGTGCACCACCAAACAACAGAAAACACAGAGATTGTTGTTAAAAGTATCCAATGCATACAAACCTTTCTTGGTGCAAAGCCATTCTGACAAACACCCTTCCCCAACATGCAGCGGTTGGTTGTCCAAATGTACACTGATTTGGACCGACATATAGGCGGCAAACACAAATTTTGTGTTCGGCCAAGTGAATGTTTCATTTTCCAACCCTGCGGTTTCTTGTCTCTCAATCCAGCCCCGGGCCTCTCGAAGATTGGGAAACCACGGGATTTTCATTCCTTCTTCCAACCATGGAAGCTTTTTGTTGGTTTCAATATTTTCGAAGCCGGTTGTAGTATGAATAATTTATTCTGAACAGGCTTGCCAACCCCCATTTGATTCTGTCCAGGATTTGCCCAGCAAGCGAATGGATCAAGTTTGAGAGATAATGCCATTTTATGACTTGTTGCCCACGCCCATTGACAACAATGTTTTGAATCTCTTGGACCACATTCTTATACCAAGCCGGTATGTTTCGTGGGGCTGGTTGGGCTTCTCGCAAATTGTCAAATTCTCGCAGTATTTGCGCCCTTGGCCTTCTTGGCAGTGGCATAGGTAGTTGTGGCACTGGTTTGGGCTCCAAAGGCGGTGGCAACCCTTCTGAGATTCCACGGCCAAACATTTGTTTTTGTCTGATGTGAACAAATGAGTTGCCGTTGTTGTATATATGTTTGCAAAAAAGTGCCAATATCTAATAGGCCACTCGCGCCCGGCTTGCACCGCAACTATGAGAAAATTCTGTCTGCTGTGGCCATCTCGGCAAGCGATTAATCTACCATCTCAGGATATTTTCTGTTTCTCTTGGGCGCGAAAATGGACCTGTTTTTGTGGGGTTGCCATCTGCAGACAGGGGAAAGCATGTAGACTTTTTTTGGGAAAGCAAGTAGTATGTCTGGAATCTAAATGAAATCCAATTTTTCCGAAGGTATGGCTGTAAGGTAAAAATGAGTAAAATGGGGCCATGTGGCCCTCCGAAAAAGTGAATTCATTTTGATTCCAGACATACTACAGTCTTGATGAAGGCAACGTTGTTACCATGGTGGCAATGGATTTATCCAAGGTGTTTGATAGTCTTCTTTACTCACTGCTTATAAGCAAGCTTCGGACAGGCAGAATTTAGCGGGTGAAGTTTGGCGATAAAATTTCTGGTTGGGAGCTAAATCAACGAGGTGTACCCCAGGGCATTGTTCTCCTTGTCAGGCGATAACCTGTAAAACTTACCGCTTGAAGCAACACTTTGTACCACCTCCAACCGCTTGAAGTGTTTCATTCAGTAATTGATTAAATAATTATTCGAATATGTATATGTTTCCTGGTAAAAAATAAAAACCTTTAAATTAAAGACAATGTAAAAGCTTGAAGTTTGTAATGAAATCTCTTTCACTTATAATATGTGTAAACAGAGATGATGTTTTAGACTCTCTGCTTAGAAATAGTACTATTCCTGCTTTCTTAAATGCAGTTGTCTCCTTTTTGACAGGCTGCAAAAAAGAATGAAAGTGACTTGTCAAATAATCTCAGCGGAGGTGAAAAAAATCCCACAGCAGGAAAAAAGAAGCGAAAAAGGAAAAGAAAAGCTAAGGTATTATTTTATAGGATGATATGCAGCCAACTCCAAAATTTTTGTCTTGACCAAGATGTGATACAATTTATTCTTTTTCTAACTTCTGAGTCTTTTTTCACAGGAAGCCTCAGAATCACAAGATATCTCTAGACAAAAACTTGCGGAAGACAACAAGAAAGAGGATAAGGAGATTAAGAGACTAGAGAAACTTTTAAGACTTGACAAGAAAAAGAAAGTTCCCAGTCAGTTTAGTCATGAGGGACTGGATTGTATCCTTGGAATCTACATACATGTAATAATTTTCTTTTTTAAACATTTCCATGTTTGTACATTGTATGAACTAAACAGTCACTCACTCTGAATTAGTTCCTAACCTTTCTCTCAAAATGTCACAATTTCAGAGTATTCAAAGTTTGGCAATGCTTATTTTTTTTTAAAGTTTCCCTTAAGCTTAAGCGGGTCACATATATATCATGAAGTTTTAAATTTCATGGCACTAAAAGTTTTTATCTTATTATTTTAAAAATTTCATGCAATAGTGCGTCCACCATTTCCTCATTTCTCCTAATTACTGTCACATAATAGACTTATTCGCAATGAATGTTTGCTGTTTGTTCATTATCTTATACTGCAGCTGCTGTGTTGCCTTGACTCATTTGACACCAGATTTGTTGGAAGTTTGTGATCCTTTGTTAATGACAGGAAGGACTGGTAGCAGTGATGATGACGAGGAGCCTGAACAGAAGACAAAGCTGGCTCATGGCAAGGTATTCCTCCTTTTAAGTTTTAATGACTTTCCTTTGGGTAGGCATAAATAGTTTTTGAAATTACACTTTACTAGTATTCAAAAAATAATTACCTAAAACTATGTATTTTCCTTTTTGAAATGATGGTTAATATTACTTTGTAAACATGTAAAAACTAACGAGACAATGTTCCGACATTTCGGCGACATCATGAAGCCATTATCAAGGAATGGAAATAAAATAAAAGGAGCTGAAGTACTCTAAATTTGCATGTGAACACGGCTAGACATAGACTTTAGCTCGGATTGAATTTGTTTGCACATTCTAAGGCGGCAAGGTCAAAAGCGAGCCTCAAATTAACAACTTTCGAGGGTTGCTGACCCGCAGCCATCGTGGGCTTCTGCGGGAATGGCGGTATATGATATGACACGGGTAGTTATAACCTTTTATTAAAAGCTCCATACCACAGTCCAACCCGGATTTGTGAGTAAGAAAATTGGCCAGGACCTCCACGAATGTACGTGAGTCATACAAAACTGCAAGTGCTTAATCAACAGTGCATAGTGTACCAGTTGCAATGTAACCTGTGCATTACAGGCAGCTACAGTCGACTCCCGACGACTCGAACCTTCAAGGAAAGTCAAAAACAGTTCGAATTATCAGTAGTTTGAAGCAAATGACCAGTAGTTAGGAAATGGGATGGGGAAGGGATGCAAGTATCGTGTACACTTCTCTTCAAAAGCAGCAAGAGATATATTAAATATATCCCTTGCTGCCCTTGAAAAGAAGTGTACATTTTATATTTTGAAAAAGAAATTTAGCAACAAAGCCTTGATTAATCAGTACAGCGCTAACCATTGTATTTGAATTGGACTCCGACAAAACAGGAAAGAGTCTGAAAGAGAAAGAATATACGAGAGAAATTCCATGTTTTGGACTGCAGTTCACTGCGTTTCTTTTTCAAATTTAAATGCGCTTAAACCATGGTTCAAGTTATCGACGGTAAAATCTTATAGAAATGATCTGAAGGGAAACAAAAGTTACTTCGAGTTTAATAGCAGGAGATTTGAGTTATCGAGGGTAACATTACATTAAGTGTATGAAAGAAATCCAAGGGAAATCGATTTTGGTTCGAGTTAGCGCGAGGCTTGAGTTAGCGAGGGTTCGAGTTATCGGGAGTCGACTGTACATTAGTTGTACGTCGGGGCATCTTTTCACATGCGTGGATGGCCACAAAAGTATAAATCATCCTCTGTGCGCAAACGCTATGATAAAGACCACGTGGGAGCTGTCCCGGAGGACCTTTTCAGCTGCTTTAGGGTGCTGAAAAAGTGTACTGCCTCGTTAACGAAATGCTTTACATCAAACAATTAAGACTGCCTTTGAAGGTGCAAACGGATTCAATCCGTGCTAACGTCTTTGTCTAGCTGTGTTCATTCATGCAAATTTAGTGTACTTTAACCCTTTATTTCTATTACTTTATAAAGGCGTCATGATGTCACCGAAATATGGGAACATTATACCATTATGTTTCTTCAAATCATCATTGATTAGTATTACTTTAGGTTAATCAGTAACAGGACGTGAATTACATGTAACTATCTTTTTTTTCTCATCTTTTAAAAAGGCCAACCAAAACCGAAGAAAGACACTTGGCATGGATCAATTGAGCTTTAGTGAAGATGAACAAGAAGATTTGGTTAATAGCAGTAATGATGATGTTGTTGACGATGATGAAGGCGATGATGATGACAACGATGATGATGATGATGATGATGATGATGGTGGTGGTGGTGGTGGTGATTATAATGAAGGTGGTAGTGACATTGATGAGGAGGGAAAAGCCTTTAACACCAAAGATAAAATTGGTCGTGGTATGGACCACAATGACAAGGACAGTAGTAAGAACAAAGATGCATATGAGGAGGAGGAGGAGGAGGAGGAGGAGGAGGACAAGTTCATGGACAATGATAATGATGATGATCATGCTATGAATAACAACAATAATGATGTTGATGATGACGACAATGAAGATAATACTCAGAACATTACTTGTCACAAGTATGTTCCTCCTCATCTGAGAAGGCAACCTTCATCTGAAGCCCAGCGTGAACACTTAAACAGAATCAGACGTCAGGTGAAAGGTCTACTAAACAGGTAAACCATTTAATGAGTAAAATATTAGTATTTTAGGAACGCACTAAAGATTAAAATTCATAACAACCGGTCATTCATAGGAGTACCACCCTCACCGTTAATTCCCTTTAGTTGTGTATATTTATTGGCTACCCAGAGTAAGGCTGTTCCCTTTAAATCATATGCTTTCATAAACTAATCTTGTTTGCACTTTGCGCAGGCTTAGTGAAGGAAATATGTCTGTTATCAGCGGTGAAATAGAGAATCTTTTTACTCACAACAGTAGAAATGGTAGGTCTGCTATAATAACATTGCTACTTTTTCAACGTTTCAAGCCAGAACAATACTGGCGTAGTGACCCTCGAAAACGTAAACTGACAAAAAAAAAAAACATTAGTAAAAGTCGTATCCTGTAAGTCCATTGACTGATTCAAGCGGGACACGAGTCCTTCCACCTTGTTTGGAACAAGGTAATCAAACTGCAGAAGATCTAAGCTGTTTCATTTACGATAAAATACACAAGGTTTTATTGACTAGCACTCCCAGCCTCGTTGCTTTAAACTTATCGTGAGAGGTGGAGTAGCTCACACCTGTGCTAATTGGACCCACTAAGAACTTAAATAAACACCTCACCAAGGCAAAAAAATATGCCAAAAACTCCTCCTCATTTTACCACCTGCACCAGTACTATTGCTATAACACATTTAGCAATTTTTAGAGTATCTGGTAAATGTGATTTAGGTTTGGCTCTCAATGTCCTTTGTTCCCTAACCTGAACAAGGGAAATTGAGAATCAACATAGGTCAATACCACTTTTAACCAAACTTATTTTTTAGACTGCAACATATGTGTTCATCTCTTCCTTACCAGATATGAACAAGATCTTAAGTGAACTTATACTAGGATCATGTGTGTCGATATCTTTGATGCCTGATAAACTCCTGATGGAGCATGTTATGTTACTAGCAATTCTCACAAGTCATATTGGAACTGAAGTTGGTGAGTGAAACACAGTGTCTTTGCATTGAGGGTTTTGCCACCACTGCCACTTTTGCAACTTTTGACAACTTGGTGGGTTCCAAATAATACAGTCAATCAAAATCCGAGTTATCTTAAAAGCAGATTCATGTTTTGCAATTCAAGGTTTCCTTTCTGTTCCTTTGAAATTCCATGACTCTACCTCCCAGGCATATTTTTACCTTTTGTTTTTTACCTCGAAAAGAAGTTTAGGTGGCTACATCCACCTTAGCCACATTTCCACACAGATCTTTCTTTTTTTAAACAAAATTCATTCTTGTATTATCTGACCTAAAATCACAGTAAAAGCTTCTCACACCAGCGGGGAGGTGTCCAGTTAGTGCTAAGTTGGATCTTAGGACCAGCTGTTTTTCATGTTTCGCAGCGTCCGCTAAAACCAATTTTATTGTTTTTCGCAATATCATGTTCCAAAAAAGAATTATTTATTCATATCTGTATCACGATTCCTTATTAGGTGCCTTCTTTGTTGAGAGGCTTGCAGAAATGTTTGACAATATGCACGACAGTGAGAAAGATAGCTATGGAAGAGGGAAAGAGTGTGTCAACATAGTGGCCTTATTTGCTCATCTGTACAATTTTAAGGTAAATTAATACTTTAGAATTGATAGTTAACCTAGATTCTCTCAAGTTGACCAAGAATATATTATATAAGGTCCTAATTATCCTGTAAAATTTCGCTAGAAGAACCGAAAAAGGTAGAGGACGCCCAAAGAGAGCCAATGTATATTTTACCCTATTCGCCTGTGATGTAGTCGAGATTTGCGACGCTACCATTGGTTGCCCCACCAAATGACGTCTGAGAAACGAGCGCAGAAATTTCATACTGCTGACGCGTCACTACCCAGATCTGGGTAGTACTCTGATTGGCTGAATCTAATTTCCCAAGCGGCACGACCAATGGTAGCGTCGCCATATGTCGGCCGTTTTCTCAGGCTATGTGGAATGCCCTTGTACTATTCTTCATTTATTTACCACTCCTCCTTCAGCTGGCTTTTATTTCTTGATCTTTCTCCTCTACCCAGTTAGAGATTTTGCACCCGTCGATGTCCTCTATCAAAACAGGTGCATCCTGCATGCACATTTCACACCAATCCAACAAGTACTTAAAAATAGTTCAGAATGTTTTTTCAGTGTGGGATTTTCTCATCTCTCGCATGTCAAACATTAACATTTCCTTTCAGGTTATTGACTGCTGTCTTATTTATGACATAATCCGCCGCCTTGTGGATACATTCTCTGAGCAAGACGTTGAACTTCTCCTACTTGTCTTAAAAAGTACGAAATATGACCTAAACTGTATTACTTTAGAAGTAACTAGCTTTCTCCTTCCTTTTATTTTCCTTTGGAGTCTTGAAATAACACCCTCTTCTAAAATGGTGTCGACATTTCATCACAATTAACCGCTAATATTACCCGCAAGTGATATCCAAACATCAACAACCTTAATTTGTCATAAACTACCAAAACTTAACAAAGAGAACCCAGACTGTTTCCTCACATACCACATGTAGTATTTTGTAGTTACGCCCAAAAACATTTTATTGTATGCCGGTGCAATTCAGCAGGCATAGCTGCTTGTCTTATTTCAGAAGACTATGCTCTTTCTGAAATGAGGTAACTGCAAGCCTCTTTCTACGACTTCAAATGATAAGTATTGTTTTCCTACAGGTAATGGAGCAGAAATCAGAAGAGATGATCCAGCTTCATTAAAGGTACCAGTATGCACTATGTTGACACTGTTAAGTATCTTATTATCCACTCCCCTTAGGGTTTTTCAGGAATAATTTACAACACTGGTTGGAGGACTTTTTAGCTAGACGGCTTCTGTTTATCTTTCTGATTATCATTTGGAATTAAAATGAAAATGTTCTTCAAAACTTACGTTTCATGAATATACCTGTATCAAAATATGGATCCTCTGTTAGCCTGAGGTGTTCACAAGGGTATGATCCAGTGGGACAAGTATCTAAACCTGACAAAAAGAAAACGTAAAAGCAAAGCTGAAAAAAACGTGACAACAAGGTGTAGAAGAAGGAGGAGACAGGCCTTCCCGCTATCCAATGCATGGCACTATTACCTCAACTCAGTGTATCGGAAGAAGAAAAGAAGGCTGTGACAAACCTTCTTTAAAAGTACAAACAACCGCTTCTACCACTGACCCCATACAACGGCCGTGATGTGGTGTCCGATACACGATGAGGTGATGCAGTTTCACACCTCTAAGAATGGTTGTCACTTTACGAAATGTGAAGTGTAAAATTCTTGGTTATTTCCTAGTCAAGTAGAGGCGCCCCCTTACATAAAATGCGTTCGTCAACAACTCTATCGTAAACTGAAACTGCAGTTTCCCATCCTGACTTACGATCGTCATTATCCCGCTAAACCAAGGCTGAGGGTCAGTAAGTCCATCAAGAATCCTAGACGCTTGTTCTTTAATTCCACCAACTTGAAAAATATGATTTCTCTCAGTGGCCCAACCTGCCATGATGCAAGCAAAACAGAGATTCCCTCGAAGGAAAACAGTACCATCAGCTGAAACCTGAAAAGCACCATCTTGAGCAAGTTAAGCAACCTGATTCCTCGGTAGCCAGCAGTATTTAGGGGGTTTCTTTTTTTATTTCGGTGGACAAAGAGGGGACAGAAAACTCTAACGTACGATTGAACTAATTTGCACAAACATGCAGCTATCAGAAGGTAGAAATTCTAAAACGGTAACCTTGTAAACATCACAATGACGACAAAGTCGGCCCTGCAAATTATTTGTATCTATGTGTTGTTTTTAAAATCGTGTAGAACATGCAGTCTGATCACTTTGTGCCAGTTTTACTCATTCTTTTGAACAGATGGTTTGCGCTGTATTCCCTAGTGGTAAAAGGGCACTATAAAAAGGCTAACCGAATCGATACTTAATTTAACCCTAACTCCTGTTTGCTATGAATATGGCAAAGAATTTGCGAATAATCTCTTGAAAAAGAGAAAAGTGAAGTCGAGAGAGATCTGTCACTTCAAATCAAAAGTTTCGTAGCTGCAACACTCTCGGCGACAATACAAGGCTCTGTCCCTAGACCTCTTCTTGGTGGAAAAGTCCACCTTAACAAGAATTTTTTAGCAACTCTCGTCGTGAAACATTTGGACCATTCCAGAGAGCTACTTCTACAGAAGCGGTTGTCTGAAGAAGGCCAGCTAATACACTGTCTCCGCTGCCATCTACGCTCAAAAATGAAGCAGGAGAGGGAAGAACAAAATATCAATGGCTATTGTAAGAGCCAACAAATCTTGTAAAACTTAATGACCGATGATAGGAACTTAGGAAAAACAACATTTACTTTTTGTCAGCGGAGAGTTCGAGTTACCGAGGTACTACTGTATCTCGCAAAACCTCGAAGAGGAAGCCAGAAAAAGTCAGCTGAAGGGGAACCGTTTAGGAAAAAGCCGAATGCATTCCACTATACCACGCACATGAAGGCATTCGTTTGGATCCGTGAGGTACAATCCAGGTCTCTGATGAGTGACCAAGATCATGTCCAACTCCGCGCGGGGCAAGTTAGGCAACAATTAAACAAGTTCCAGGTTAAAGAAATCGTCGACCACGTGCCTTTTCACAAGTTCCTGGACTTGGACAGGCATGACATCAGATACTTGAGTTCACCCACTGAGGAGAAGGTAGAAGAGCATTACAAACAGCGAGAGGAACGATACAAGGCTATCACCGATCCTGAACATATTTGTCGCTTGCTTCACCACTTGTTGCGCACGATTACACTTATACGAAGCTTTGGAGCTCTTGGGAAAACACTGTCTTTATTATGATGCAGACTCGATCATTTTCATCAGTCGGCCCGGCAAAACCGACCCACTTCTCGGCGATATTTTTGTCGAATTCAAAGATTAGCTCGACACGGGAGACAGCATCGTCGAAATTGTATCGGGTGGTCCCAGGAACTACAGGTACAAGACATTGCGTAGCAAAACTTGTTGCAAAGTCCGACGTTTCAGCCTCATTAATGAATGGATCGGCCCAATTAAATTACCAAGTGATGAAGCAAAACGTCCTAGACGAGGTGCAGAAACCGCCAAAGAGTATGCACCAAATTCAGGTGGCCAACAGTTTCCAAATACTCCTTTCCAGAGTACAAAACGTTTCAGTTGGTTCACACAAAAAGAGTATTGGATCCACTGACCTTTATCAAACACCCATACGGATACAAAGACGTGGATGAGAGAAACATCTACAACTGGTTGAGCCCGCCTACTGGACCAAGCCCGTGTGATCCACTACACATTACTACTGGTATGATATTATACGATCCAGTATGCACTACCTATAATCCATAAGATTACAAACGTGCAGCGGAGGTCATAGAAAGGAAAGGCCTTATAAATTTTGAAACATTTTTTGTAGTATTTGTTATTGTCACTTTTAAGTGCTGGAAAAATGAGCACACAGTATCGCTAAAGAAATGTTAACTGTTCGTGTTGAATTTTTCCATTCTGTCATTTTCAGAAATGGAAAGTGTAGACCAGAGGCTACATGTATTGCTAAGAAAATAGACTTTTCATTGTTGTCCAGTTCAAACTGAGCACACTTTGAGGCTTTTATATTTAGTCCTCTGGAATAGATTCTATGCATGTGCATTCAACCTTGGCAATACAAAATATATCCGTTTCACATATTTCTTCATCTGTAGGATATTATCTTACAAATCCAGGCAAAAGCAGCTTCTTCAGCCCACGTGACTAGCAAGTAAGAATTCCATTTAGTGCTTGATATAATCAACATAGTGAATGAGTGGCCACCAGTAAATATCCTTGATTTAAATGTTACCCTCCTTTGATTAAATCTAATTATCTCATGTCATATTCAGAGACAACGGATGACCAATTTGAACAAAAATCGAATGCAAAAACACTTAAGATATGTGTTGATTGAAAACCAGTTGTAATGAAGATTCTTGAATATCATGACAAGGGAGGCACTGGTGATGCTCAAGATCAAGCGCAAAAGTATCCTGTTGATAAAGATTTGCAGGACGACACTGTAACATCCCCTGTTCCAATTTTATTTCACCCGTTGGAACCAAAAAAGTACCAGTATCTTTCTATTTTATCAATATTTCATTAAATTAATATTTCTGCCTGTTGTTTAGTTCAAGAGTCCGTTTTATGTTGGAGATCATATCCAATTTACGAAACAATAACTTGAGGAAGATACCAGGTTATGATCCTTCGAGATTAGAACATCTTAGAAAAGTTCTTCGCTCACTTGTCAGAGATTCAAGTAAGTTAATTTATAAATAATGAGTACTGTACCATGGGTAATGAAAGGTAAAGGGACTTAAAATGGTTGAATCTCAAAGTCTTAGTAAGACGACCAATCACTAAGTTCTCCCTTCTCCAGTCCTGTATATGAAATTGCACATTGTTTGTGTGTTTCGACAACATTCCCTGAAACAATTGAGAGATCAATAATTGTATGTTTTGATTGGTTATTGAGGGGAATGTCCATTCGCCGCAGTAGCTGACCGGTTCGCCCCCAGTGATGATCCCAGAAACAATTGTAGGACACATTTCGGACACACTTTCTCGTATCTAAAGTAGTGAATGGTCCCGAGGTGTACACCATTACGTAACTCAGTAGTATAGTATGGATGGATAGTCTTTTTTGCGGTGGAATCTCATCAATTTGTGCCATGTGAAGAGCAGTTGAATATTCTGTGTCATTCATAGTTGGTTAAACTGGCTTTAAAAAGTTTTAGTTGCTTTGTTCAAGTGATGACCGTATTTGAGCCTCGCAAGATTCCACCGCAAAAAAAGGGAGTAAAACCTTTTTCCATACTGCTGAGTTTACAAGTAAATGTTTCCAAGTTAATCGAAGGTAGATGTTTGTTTAAGTCGTTTAAAACTAGATCAACTCGTTTAACTTGTTTCAAAGTAGAGAGACTCATATAATTCAAAGGCGGTGAAACCCTCTCTTTCCCAGTCGATTTTTTCCCGTGAAATCGCTATAATTCTTTTTTGTGGTAAGCTGAAAGCACGACTCATTTCCTGCAAATAGTCAGCTAACCTTTACTACTGAATATCTCTTTTCACACCTGACTTAATTTATTTTAGGCCAAGCAGCTAGTAATCAGCTGAAAATTTCTTTAGAAGATTTACTTAAACCAGAAACAAAAGGTGGGTTTAGTTGTTTTCTGTTTTATTAGTTTGAAATAAAGTGTTACTAACCCGGACATGGTTTTCGCTAATCGAAGCTCCCTTATTGTTCTGCTTACGTCGATGCGCCCTTCCTTTATTGTTTTAAAATTTAACATTGTTTCAAATTTGGTTGGTTTTTGCGGCAATTACCGAGCACTGCGAAGAATGGGTCCGAGCTTTGTTGTAACCCCACAGAAGGAGATCAATTTCACGCGAGCAACATGAACTTCTCTGAAATCAGAGCTGGATGCAGCCGATCACCAAAGAGGTATCGTGCTCCATAAAATTCCATTCTGGGGTGATACGCACGCTGAATGTATTAAGACAAGAAGGTTAAGATCACGTAAAACACTTCCCCCTTTCTCGCTTAACCGCAATATTCTTATGAGTATGCGCCAAATGGTCTCCTTAGAAGGTGTCAAAACAGCCTCGTACCTAACTCCCACAAATGCTCGGTAATGGGACAAAAGACTCCTAACGGTAACGCGGGGATTTTATCAAACATGATAATTTTTTTTTGCACAAATCACCGGGACAGTTATCGATTTCCTTTAACGAGAAACATGAATGTTTCGGGGTTATTTGCACTATAACAGGACAAAGTTGTCGAAGATGTTGTTTTGAATGAGCATTGTATGTGTTTTTGCTGATGCCAAGGTTATTTCGAGTAAACAGTCACTGTTGGTAAGTCAATGGCCTGTAAAAGTTACTTTACACCTAGTTCAAAACCTTTATCATATGGAACACCCGCAAATGGAATGTTGTGAAACAAGTGCGGTAACTGAGAGTTCTGTTACTTTTAACCATAAAACACGAGTAGTATAGTGGGGTTCGTTTACTCTTTTTTTGTGGTCGTGCTATTTTAAGTGGTTCAGCTGGTTTGACAGGTTTCCTAGTTATTCTTTGGTCGATGAATTTGTTGGTTTTTGATTTATAGACTAGAAACTAAGAAAAGTATTTATTGCTTGATTCATGTTGTCCAAGGAATAAGTGCTAACTCACTGGTGACTCTATTTCCTGCCACTCTCATTTCAGAAAACAAATTGTTCCAGTTCCGGTTCACTGATTCTTGGCGCGCAAGTCGTGCACATAATTGAGGGCAATGCAAAATAGATTTTTCAAGGACGAAACACGATTTTTACGTACTCTCTCCTGTTCCTTCTTCTTCACAATTAATTATTTCGCTCCTTCTCAAACTTTCTATTTTCCCTTCTCCATCACATTTTTGTTTTTCCTCCTCGAGTTGATGTTTCCCCAGCTGGTTTATGAGATTGCCCCGCAAAAAAGGAAGAAACCTGACCCTTCTATACTAGTAACGCGACATACTACGGACAAGATTTGGAGATACACTGCTCCATTAAGGGGTCCTTTTTACTGTCTGATATTCTAACTGACCATCACAGTGTGGGTCGCTCGTAAAAGTACTGCAAGTGTCTCAGTAGTGAAGATAATGCAGCGATCAAACCTTTGTTCAGTGTTCAGGCTGTAGATAGGTTACTTTCATTATACCCGAAGTAAAAGCGTTATAATTTTTGCTTTTGGCGTTTTATGGCAAAAAGACAATTCATTCCTGAAATAATGAGCATAACATCCATTCATTTAGTGACATTTGTAAACGATAAATCTTTTTTTTTTGTCCCAATGCTGGGACACTGAATCCAAGATTGTAGAAGAGAATTTTGGAGTAACTTCAGATTAATGTTCTCATGTAGGTCGCTGGTGGATTGCTGGCTCATCCTTGTCAAGGAGAAATGGAAGGGAGTTTATAGCGGCATCCTCTGCCCAAATGGAAAACACTAAGTTATTGGAACTGGCACGTAAACAACGTATGAACACTGATATCAGAAAGAATGTGTTTCTTGTTATGATGACTAGCGAGGTGAGCAATTTTAAACCCCTCCTCCCTTGTTTTTTACCCTTTATACTGAGATTTCGTGCATCCGCGAATGTGCGTTTGTTATTCCAGAGTAGAGTGAAAATGCCAACTTTATGATGAACTCCTACATGACGGAAGATACGACGCTCCTGTAAACAAATGGCATTGTTCGCCCCTGTGTAGTTATAGCAAAATTAAGGCCGGAATCGGACCCCGATACAATTTACCACCTTCATAACCAACGATTGTTCCAGTCCCCTAAATCGTAGTCTCACGGAAGTGACACGAAGCCTTCTCATGGTAGTGCCTCTGAAAAGTTAATAGTTGTTCAGTTGATTTTCTCTATCCAGCGGGGAGCCGCGGGTGGGCAAGGCAACCTAGCGATGGTTTAGCAAGTGAAAATAAGAAGCAACTTCTCTGATTTGTTGCAGCTAAAGCTGCTTGTTCATTTTAAAATTACCAACACACCTCCGTCCCCATAATGTCTATGTGTTTATCGACCACGCGATATCCTCGAGGAGGCTTTCCCCGGTGTCAGAGAATTACTTGTTAAAGCGGGTGTGCTTTTCTCTGTTAAGCGAGAGTTACTCTATGTATCTAGGATCCCCAACTTTCATGTACGCAACTTGTTCCTCTATACTGTACTTTATACATGTCGTTATGTCATGAACTCAAGTAATTCCTACTTCTTACTCCTGCTTTTGTTGTTATCTATAGGATTACATCGATGCATTTGAAAATTTGCTGAGATTGAATCTAAAAGATGCTCAGACTCGGGAAGTAATTCATGTACTTATTGACTGTTGTGTGCAGGTTCGTAGAACTGGTGAACAGTCTCGTTTTTTGTTCAGTCATCTATTTGGTGATGTGTTAAACATGTTACCGGTTGTTTTTTCCAGGAAAGGACATACAATCCTTACTATGCGTATCTTGGCCAAAAATTCTGTGAATACAGTCGCAGCTATCAGGTAAGCTAATCCTACACTTCGAAAAACGACTACAACCTTGTAGACCAAACGTTGTCTGTTTATCCACTCTTCAAGGAGCTTTTCGAGGACGGGTTATAACACTGTGCGTCTTGTAAACTTTAGTTCAATGAAATAACCTTACATAATTTTCCCTAAACAGTTCAGATCTCAGACATGGATCTGTGTGTCTCCTCCTTAGCTTCGCATTAAAAAAAAAGTTGTAAAAGAATTTTTGGTTTATCAAAATAGCCTGTCCAACAAGCTTTTGATGTAGGGTTTCAGTTTTCTGCAGTCTAACTGGAACGCGCTACATCACTTTCACGTGCGACACCCCTGAAGGTATCTAGTTACCTTAAGTCTAGCAGACATTCTTCACATAGCAGATGTCGTTCGCTCAGTTTGATTTGTTGCTGTTTTTGTTACGTTTTTAGGCAGTAAATCGGCTATTTCTTCGCAAAACGCGTGAACTTTCCCGCCATCTACTCTATCTCTACCAAAACAACTCACCACCAGGGTTTATCGGTTATTGCCGCCCTTTTTTGTCTTTTTTCTAGCGTTAGCTTGTAGTATTAACGCCATTTCACCGGGTGTAACAAAAGTCTTTTAAATTTGGTTAACGCTAGCAGGCTATCAAGAATTAGCCAAGGGATTTGAGCCAATTAGATACGGAGAAGTATTTCGAGTGAAGATTAAGAAAGGATGAATCTCGATCTTTCTCTCCCGTGGTACCATATAACTGACTATCTAATTCTTATGAAATATAAAATGGGTTTTACATTTACTATTAGACTCCTAATAACCAATGAACCGTAAATCAATCCCTCCAGCAATATCATAAAACTTGTTATTTAGAAATGGCTTGAATAAAGTCTCATCTTATTGTTTTGAATATGCACCGTTTACTACATTCCTCGAGAGGCTTGTACGGTGGATAGCACTATCCACCGTATGAACTTAGCGAATTTTCAACTCCTGCCACGAAATCAAGAGTTAGCTTGATTATTCCTAACCGACCTTCTTAAGATCAGAGGACTGCGACGGCGGCGAAAAGTGATTTCGGGTTCCTTAAATCTTCATCGTGATTATTCTAACTCCGTTGCTTTGTAAAATGCGGTCGAATTTTCGTGGAGTTAAAGTCCCAAGAGGCATATCCATGGTGCATTTCGAACCTAGACACGTGTTACTTGATTTCCCATCGACCGTTGGTTTACCTGATTATCTGAAGTTTTCTGTTGTTTAAACATGTGCTTTTACAACCTGTGTCTTGTATTTTTTTCAGGTTACATTTCAGTATTCTTTCTGGGACAAGCTTAAAGTTGTTGGTGACCTAGCGTCTCACAGTGTTGATAATCTGTCTTGTCTCATGTCTCATCTCATCGCCAGAAGAGCTTTATCTTTAGCAATTCTTAAGGTATTAAGAGTATGATAAACACAATTGTCATTTTCCTGAACACTTACATTTAAATCGTTGTAGTGGTTGTCGGGGAGCGTTAGAAACAGAACGATGTTGTATTTCCAAACATTGATATTGTGTTACATCATGGGAGGGTTATGGAAAGTGTTTTAATTAAGTGGTTTTCACGAATGTCTTTCAAATGATCAGGGGATGGGTAATGTGTTGTAGGAGCAAAATGTTATTGTTGAGCTTCACCTAGGTCAAACGAGAGAAATTGGCAAAAGCTAAAAAGGAAGGTTGTTACTTTCACTGTTCAAAGTTAAGTTCATTAACAATACGCTGGTGATTCACTAAAGTTTAGTAAGAAATAGATTTCTGATCGTTCGAAAGCAGAAACTGGCATTGTCGGCGATATTTGCCTACATGGCTCTACTCGGGTGCGAAAGATTTTGAACGAAAGGAGGCTCATTATTTTGAGAAGAATGCAAAGGTAGTTTTATCAACGTATTCTTTTGTACACCGCTGGCCATGTTTTCGAAATAAAATCACAGTAATAAGACAAAAAACGCCTCAGACGTTGGACCCTGTTGAATAGTTGGGCTTTGTGAGTGCGGACTTTTTCAAACACACAACAAGACATTGGAACGGGAGTACAAACTTTGACTTTCATTACCCCAGTAACTGAGGAGATTGTATGGACTATGATCTGCCGTAACAAAAGCACAATGCCATATCGTTTTTACAGACATGGTGACTGCCACTTGTTTATGTTGTGGCTTCACCAGAAAGCCCAGCAAACAAATGCAGTCATCTAGGAGACCGTAAAGCTGCTGGAGTTAGATAAGAGGGTGGCCAGTAGCTAAAAAGAAAGCTTAAAATTGATTCCCACATCGTCAGAACTTCTTAAAAGTCGAACGTCATAGGAAATGTTGAATTGGTTTTATTGTATAAAGTACTTTGAAAGTAGTTCTCAGATTTGTACTTTCTCTGTTTTCATGTATAGGTTGTAAACTTTGTGGAGCTTGATAAGCCGTCTGTTCGTCTTTTTACCAGTCTATTTCGTCATCTTTTGTTGGATTACTCAACAGATATTACAAGGTGTGTTAATAGTTTTTTGAACATGCAAAACATACGTTAAATCCATGCCAACATAGCCTTTCAACAAGACGTCAAGTTACCAATGGTAAAACTTGCAGTAAAACACGTGACGCAAAGGATGAAGATTGTACTTTATGAAATGGAGGTTGGAGCATTCAAAATTCAACTGTAATACCGAAAATCCTCTGTCCACCTCCGGGGCTTATTTCGAAGGGGAGGTTTGTTTAATTTAGCGAAGATAATGGTATCAACTCTCCATAAAGAACTTGAACGCAATGTGGAAAAGCTCTCGGTCATGAATTTGGAGGTCATGCAGTGAAGCAGCAAAAACAAAGTGAATGAACCATACTGGATCAATCCACCTGAAGTGTTACAGTCGTGATTAATTAATACAGGCTATCATTTAAGAACTAGCGGGAAGGGGAGGTGGGGCTTGAAACCGAGCGGGGTAAATTACTTTCTTCCCCTGAAAAGGGGGGCGTAGTAGAGAGAGGGTCTTGATAGATGATTTACGGCAAGTAAATTACAATCGGCTCCCGTTATTGCGAACTCTATTTCGGCGGAAATACATCCCTCCATGTTGGGGCTGGTGGGCAGTGACTTTACAATTATTATTTTATTTCGCTCCACAGAAATGTTTTTGAAAGGATTTCTGCTGTGCAAGGGCTGTCTACCCTTCGTCAAAGCCTCCGTATTTTTATCAAACATTTTGTTGGAAAAGCCAAGATATCGAAGACTTCCAAGACTGATAAACACACTGAGTTAAAAGAAAGGCTGCAACTTGTAGATAGCATTCTTGGAGCTTCCGACCGTATCAAGTTATAACATTTTATGGGTTAGCAACACGTTATTAGGAATCGCACGTGCGTTTGTACCAATGTAATTGACCACTACAGAATACCATAACATAACATAACATAATACCTAACATAACATAATACCTAATATGATACCTAATATACCTACCTAATAATACCTAACATAATACCTAACATAACATAATACAACATACCATAACATAACATAATACTCTTTGTTTGTTAACCCAATATTTTGCATAAGAATTTTCATCAGTTTCTCTTGGGAGTTAAAACGGCCCCAAGAAAAACTGAAAACAATGGTTATGCAAAAAGTACAGAAAGCATTTAAAAAAGCATTATGGTATGTTATAGTATTTTCTGTTGTGGTCAAATAGTTGCCTTACACCTTTTACTTTCGCCATACTCCCAGCCATAGAAGATACAGTGCGCAGTGTTAGAATAACAAAACAAGATTAAGAACACCAGCCATAACTACCAGCCATCACTACCAGCCAGTTCATTACCTGAGTCGAGACGTCATATGAAAGGAGTGCCCTGGAGGCTTCTCTTTCAGGAGGTTTTGAACGCATTTAACAAACTCGAAACCCTTGTGAGCAAGTCACCATTGGTTTTATTTTAAGTATAATTTAATGGTAAACTTCCATTAGGTTCAATTTTTGTTCCCTTGGTGAAAAACTTCCGGCGGGCAAGGCGAAACGCGACCACGTTAAAGAGAATGTATGGGATATCTAATAGTTATTATTATTTACCAATATTTTCACAGGATTTGCCTCTTCAACAGAGCTGATATCAGTGGGGGTCCTGGTAAATTAAATCGTTTAATATAAGAATAAAAAAAAAACATCAAAGTGTAGATACTTGCAAAATGAACTGTACTAGGAAATTAAAGAAAATCCTTAGCAATTCTTTGAATTGAGATAGTGATTTGCATTCTATTGCTGACAGAGGGAATCTCTTTAACTTGCAAGAGAATAAATTAACGCTGCAGCCTTCGTGAATTGTCCTACAACAGATACCCTTTTTGCTGAGTAAAAAGTCGATGATTTCATCTCCTTAGGATATCAGTCTTTTTCATTAGTGCCTAGTATGATGGTTTTACAGGTTAGGCTCAGTGGAGTCAGATTTTGATTGGTTGACAAAAAACTAGAGAAGGATTCATTTTAAAGAAGGCATAAGCGCCAAGTCGAACTTATGGCCTGTTTACCTGGAGTGGGGGACCCCAGTCTAGTGGGGTTGGTTTCTTTTGTTTTCACGCTCTGGGGGACACAAAACAAAAGAAACCTACCCCACTAAACCGGGGTCCCCCACTCCATGTAAACAGGGTCTTAAACGTACTTATTGAAGTCTTTTTCCCGTCACAGTTATTGTCTCGGTTGCAGTTGACCGATTTTCTGCTTGTTAATGGCACAGAGGCGAACTACCTCCATTAAACACAATAGATAATGAGAACACTTTTGTTCATTCCCTTTTCCCTCTCATTTGCAATTTTTTGTGTCCACCTCCTCATCATCATCATTATCATCGTCGTCATCGTTGTTAGTGGTTTTCATCTTCCTCCTCCCCATTTTTTAGATTTCGCCTTCAAGTTAATGAGATTCCCCAGCAAAGAAGGGGTCTAACCGGTGTGCTCTGTACTACTTACGCAGACAATACCCTGTCGCGAAGGCACGGACGCCTCAACCTAACCCCGATGTTTTTTTTTACTTTTTTTTATTTTTAATAACATTTATTCAATCAACAATCAACAATCAAAAATACTTACAAACACTACGATACTTACAATACAATATTTAGAATACAATAGACTAAGGTACTTACTCTGTTTACAATGTAAAGACTTACAATACTCAGTACTTACAACACTACCTACTCACTACTCACACTACAATGCACTATTTATAAGCAGTTCTAATTAGTACTTGTACTTCAAAAAAAAAAAAACATTCACGGTAAACGCACTTATATCTTAAGTGTCTTGAAGAGGCAGCGATTGTGAAGCAAAAGATACACCAGGTTAATGCTGGAGAAAATGAGCAGAGGATCGAGATATACAAATGTATACAAAATCAACTGAAAGGCTTACTGAAATAAGGAGCTCACATTTTCCCATTTTTCTGGTAAAATGGGACCTGCAGTGGTCTCTATGTGGTAGAATGATTTGAGGTATTGCAGGAAGCCTGCTATCTTTGGCGAGGTTTCCCTTCTTTTGCTAATCCAGATGTAATTTCTGGCTAGAGGGAAAAGGAAATTAATTTGCTGGCAGTTTTTTGAAGAATCCGGCTTTAGACCAAGTACAACAAATATATCTAATGTGTAATGTTCCGGTGTAATGTGGAGCATCCTCGGAGACCCAGGGGCAGTTAGTCGGGTCGATAAAATGTTCGTGGTGAAAGTTTACTGTAAGATCGAGACGAGCCCCTGGGCACTTACTCTTACCGAACCAGTTCCAGAAGCGTTTGAATTGCCTGCTTCTGATTGGCCAGAAAAAAATTTTTCTGGCCAATCAGCGAAGAGAAGCTGCCGGGTGACTCTCGTGTTTTCTTACACGACGTAGTTTTTCGTATCGATCGCCATAGTTGCGTAGCGTGTTCAACGGGGAAAGTTTCAGAACAAAATGTTAACAACCCGCAAAATTGCAACCTTTAGCACGGCTACAAGAAACAAACACTCTCCGATGAATTTTTAGGGCGGATCTTTCCAAGGTATCGTAAATTTTTATTGCTGATACGATACGCGATGCGTGACTTTCACTTTCCACACTTTAATTTGCTCAAATTGTCTAGTATACAACGCCAAGCTTACATTTTAGATGTCGATGTTCGTTGCACGACTTCTGAAACTTTCTACAGCGTGAAAATTTCCGTTGCACGGGCCACGCAACTACGTTGATTGATCGTGGGAATTGCTGGCTTGCTGCAGTGCACGCACCTTCTTGCTTTCGCGCCAAACTCCCTTACCGTACGTATTTTAAATACAGCCGTTATGTTTAGTTCGAAATCTCGGTCCGGTTATGTGCTGAATCCTGACTTGTTAACTGAGGTCGATTTTTGCAGGATGTGTGGGTTTATTTTTACGGATAAGTGAAGAAAAAAAATAAAGGTGAGTTTGTGAAAATGTTTGAAAGTGGTTGGTGTGAAAGTTTTGGAGGGCGACAAACGCGCAGTGTGTGCGTGTGTAGGTACTGAGTTGAGAAATCGTGGAAGGGTGGGATGTCTATATAGATATTTTTGTAATCACTAAAACTTTACAAGAAGTGAACGCTCTTAAAGAAATTCCAGGGAGAAAAGACCAAGGAATAGGGACACTTTCCAAAGATCCAACTTCAGCTCTTGATTTAAAGGACCTGGGGCTCTGGCTTACTAAACCGCATAAGAGAGCCTGGGTTAATCTTCACTGTCATTAGAATTATGGCTAATATAGTAGAAATGAATTTTTATTATAAGATATCTTTTAACAAATACATGGATAAGAGTAATTTCACATAATATGTGATTTTTGGCCAAGTTATTTATCTATGATTAACTTGATGTTTCCCCTTACTGATCCCCTCAAACACATCCACAGTGCCATTGTTTTAACTCTCTTGGAATTGAATCTACAAGATTGGACTTATCTTGAAAAAATAATGCTGCAATATTAACAATTTTCCTTTGGTGCATTTGTTTGATATTTCATAACTTCCCTATCATATTCATAATTCTCCTCATCTGACAATAATATTCTTCATTGATAATTATTTTTAAATCTTTAAACACCCTCTTCAGAAAGGTAAAAATCTTCATTGCATGGTCACCATTCCACACAGTGTCTCTAAAATACTTTCCACAGAACATAATTTATTACACTTATCAATTATTGTTTCCTGTAGAAGACAATCAGATAATACAAATTCTAGAATACAAGCAGAGAAGATTTGATTGTTGAAATTCCTGTCACAGATCATTTTGATTTTCTTTAAGCAGACTAACAGTCTTTGGCACTGATGTCGCAACATAAGTGGCTTGGAATGATTCTGCTGTTTTCATTACTGTCGTCAAAAAAGGAAGGAGTTTTTTCTCTTCTGCAGGTTGTACACTTAATAAAATCTAAAGGAAGAAAGACTTTTAGAATTATGGAAAACAGTAAGAGACAATTTCAGCACAGTTCCCTTTCTTCCAGAGAGTGTTGGAAAACAGTTTTTGTATGTTATGTGTGGGTATACCATATTTACTTGTGTATAATGTGCACCCGAATATAATGCACACCCCATTTTTCTAGACAGTTTTGAAATAATATACTCAAGTATACTTGACTTGTTGGCCACCTACAGTAAAACAAACCCTTTGGGACAGAAAGAATCACCAACAAATACCCCAGCATAAATGTTTATTAACAAATTAAAATAAAATAAAATATTACAGTTCCCTAGTATATACATAACTCAATATATATATAAGTAGACATGTGAACTCCAATAAAAAATTTTAAAAAAAATCTCAACAGCTTAAAAATAAAATCAATGTAATGGCATCTGTAGTTCTGTATTATGGGGTGTTTTTCCATTTATAATATGTCAATGTTCAATTGCACTATTTTCTTAAGCAGTCACAAGGCTTACTTCATCAGCTTTCAATTGTCAATAAATGGTGACAAAAAAACATGATAATTCTTGTGAAGTGTCTGTCAGCTTTTAGACATAAGATTACTGAGCATCCTTGAATAAAAACCAGATCTACTGTTAAGTATAATGAGGGTCCTGAAGGGGGGATATCAATCCCACTGAAACTGTTTAACCCTCAATTCCCATTTTTTAAATTTTTTCCCATTCTCAGTGACTTAAATCACATTTTCCCAGAGCAACAACATCCCATTTTACCCCTTCAGAACTCCCCACAATAAATTCAGTGTAGCACCCTTCCTAGTAAACAAATCAGCATACTTACCAATGAACAGCTGTATGTACCTGCAACGGGATTTGTCTGGTAAAACTCCTTAAAGAACATTGCCCTGAATTTCTTGTCCCCCAGTTAATGATTCCAGGCTTCCGTACAACAAAG